TTGTTTATATGGTATCTCGATTAGACTGTACGCTCCTAGAAAGCAGACACTGTTGCTGTTGTTGTTGTTGTGGTTGTTGTTTTGGCTTCACTTTGTAAACCAAGCACTTTGCAAAAGGCTTGTCACACAACAGGTGCTAAATAAATACTTATTGGCTTCAATAATGAAATAGGTAGTAAATTCTCAGCTGGGGCCGTCTCCAGTCATCCTGATTTATGTCTTACCACTAAACCCAGATGACTCTAGAGGAGAGAGTGAGACTGGTGACTTTGCACAGCCCTCCCTCACTTAAATCCAATTCACTTGCAAGTCATGACATCAGAGAGCTGATGGATGTCATGGTTCTCTCCCAGAATGAAGGACAAACAACAATACATTCTCATTCAGCACATATTTTCAAATGAAGGCTGGAAGGGGACTTAGCAGGAACAACATTTAGGATGATTTTGCCCAAGCAAAAGGTAGTGAAGTTACAAACTAGAGTGTTGGCAATGGCTGTGATAATTAGAAGTGAAAAGAGAGAAATAGTGTGGAGGTAGAAGCAGTATGACTTTCAATCATTTGTATAGGAGTAGGAAGGAACGTTTGTGAGGACAAGCTATTATTACCCAAGTTTTCAAGCTTGGTTAATTCAAAGAATCGTGGTACTAAAGAATTCATGATTCAGATGGACTAGCCGACCTCTGACCTTCTGAGATTCCATAATTCTTACAGGAAGAATTGCCTTACAGTTTTTAAGTTACCTTGTTCTTAGCCTGTAGTTTAAAGTTGGTGATTGTCCTAGTATTCATGGGCACCTTGGGGAGAAAATAAATTTAAGAAACAGCATTACTATAATGCCTTGCCTATTATAGGGACTTCATAAGTGTTTCTTGATTTGAATTGCTACTCCTACATTCCTTGGGGACATGGGGACCAAATGTATTAGGTGGGTGGATATTTGGGGGGATATTCAAAAATATAAAAGCCTATTTTCATTTAGTTTTTTTACACGTACTCCCATGGTGCCACTTAAGGGGGAAAAAAACCTTCTTTTCCAATAATCATCGTGGATAGCTTAATCACCAAACATCCCACTCAGATAGCAAGTTGGTGACTCTGCAAACAACCTCTTAAACTTTCTTATTGCTTTTTCCCCCTCTGTTGATGAGTCATCTTAGTCATATTAATTTTCTTCTCATGAAACCAATTTGGAAACTTCAGAAACAAATGCATTGGAGTTTATCACTTAAAACTGGTACAGCTTCTTGTGTTCAGTCAACAAATATAAAATCATTAAATAGTTTTATTGAGTCATATTGATGAGCATGCCCCAAAGTAACCTTCTTCAGTTTTATTCTAATTCCTCAAATGGTAGCTGAGTCATCCACTAGAAAAGGTAGTGACATCATGAGAAAAGACATCTGGGAGTGCTCAAACTGTAAAAAAGTATAATTTAAGGACAGTTTAGGATAAGTTGGTCATTTATTGTTTGGCAGATGAGGGTACAGTGAAGGCAAATATGAGATATTGAGGCACTAAAGACAAAAGTAGAGAAGAAAAATATGATTTTCTAGCAACTCACCAATGGCTGCTCTCTGAGCTAACTTTCAGGGAGGAAATAGAAAGCAGTACTCTTTTTAAGGAGACATAAGTGGAAAGAGGTTTATGATAATGTAGAAAAAGTTCTGTTTCTAAAGGCAGAGAATCTGGCTTCAAAATCTCTGGTTTGCCACTTACTACCTCTGTGACCTTGAACAAATCACTTAAACTTTCAGTTTCCCTATATGTAAACTGAATTTAAATAGATAACAGATTTAGAAATGGAAGGGACCTCAAAAGTCATTTAATCCAACCGCCTTCATTTTACAGGTGAAGAAGCTCAGCCTAGAAAACTTCTATCACTAAATACCTTTTAGACATCTCAAATTGCCATAGGCAACTCAAATCCAACATGAACAAAATAGAATGTTGTATTGCCTCAAACCCTCCCCCTCTTCCCAACTTTCCAACATCTTTAGGGGTACCACCACTTTCCCATTCACCCAAGCTCACAAGGTCAGTGTCACCCTTAATTCTTCACTTCTACCCAACATATACAATCTGTTGTTAAATCTTGTTATTTCTACTTTTGCAGTAAACCTCATCTACATCCCCTTCTCTCCAGTCAGTCAGCCACTACTCTAGCACAGGTTCTCATCATCTCACACCTGAAATATTACAATATCCCTTTGCTTTATTGTTTTCCTGCCTCAAATCTTTCCATACTTGAATGCATTCTTCACTCAGCTGCCAAAATGTTTTTCCTAAAGCACAGGTCTGACCACATCACTCCCTCCCCCTCCCCAGTAAACTGTAGTAGCTATTTATTACCTCTGGGATTAAACTCCTTTATTTGGTGTTTAAATCCCTTTACAATCTTGTCCCTTTATGACCTTTATAGTCTTCTTACACTTTACTCCTTTCTATAAACTCTTATGATCCAACCTTCTGGATATTCCTCAAATATGACACTATCCCCACATGGCTGTTTGGCTGGCTATCTCCTATGTCTGGAATATTCTCTCTCCTCACTTCTCTCTCTTAGCTTCCCAGGCATACTTCAATATTCAACCTTCTGCAAGATGTCTTTCCTGGTCCCTCCACCACTACTAGTATTTTCCCTCTTGCATTTACACATCTTAAATGTACATAGCAATTTCCATCTTGTCTCCCCAACTGGAATATGAGCTTCTTGAAGGTAAGGACCATATTTTTGTCATTATATGTAATAAGCTTTTCATAAATACTTAACTGATTAACTTGCCCATAGTTACTCAGTTTTTTTGTGTCAATTAGGGTTTGCATCTAGACTCTCTCACTATAGAGTCACCCTTGCAACATATTGCCTCCCTATTATTACTGTTCCTTCCACCTCTGCATATGTGATCTTATATTTGGCTACAAATCTTGACTGCTCCTGAGGCCTATATAATCCATCTAACCCCAGAAAACCACCCCTGGTCACTTTTGCCACATGACTGCCCTGACATTTTCCTCTGGATCTTGCCCACAGCCATCACCAGTTCTAGAGCCTGGGGCTAGACTCGCAGCCTTTGGTCAGCTTTAGTGTGCTGAAAAGGTTGGGCTCCATGAGCACACCACCCCAAACAACTTCCCAATTAACCTTCCAAGGCACAATGAGACTTCAATTACATATAATCCTAGAGTATCTTTATTTGTTCTATAATTTAATAGTACACCTATAAAATAATTACATTATACTTATAGCTTTTTTCTTCATTTGTAAAACAAAAAACACAATTAAATACAGTTTGAACCATTATAAGGTAAACTTAGTTTTTACATACAATAACCTCCAGAAAGGGCTTCACACTGAAGCATATCATATTGCTTTCATTGATACCCCTGGAGAGTGTGCACGTTTGTGTTGTGTTTAGGTATAGCTTAATCTGCATGATCTTCTGCTAACTTGGTCACAGGGATTGGCTTTGCAAGAGAGAGTCACCAAAGGATGCCCATGCAGGCTCCTCAGAACTCCTTCCTTACACAGCTTTTCTGCTGACCTTCGTAATCTCAGAATCTTGCTTTTAATTCATCACTAAGTATAAGAATGTCAGTTCTGAAGTTAGGTAGGATTTGCCAATCCTCCTTCCCCTGCTGCTCTTACCTGCCTACGTCTACCCCCACCCTCATTCCCCAGCTTCCTTCATGAAGATTGTGATTTAGTGCTGCTCCCTTTAGGGCCACCACATGTTTAATTGAGAAGCATGTCAAAGGCAGGTGCTGAAGCCAACTATCTGGTCACTACCACATTCCCCATCCTCATAAATATGAATCATTAATAGAAATTAAAGCAGTGAGGCTGGGAAAGGAAACAGGATAATGATTTCTAGCTCCCCAGGCCTCTCCCTGAAATCCTGTGAAGACCGTCTTAAATTTAACCGGTGAACGTCAGAAAGAAATGAATCCTCACAGTTTCAGACAGAATATTTCTCTCATGGAACAGGGAACTGAGCCATCATGAACCTCCTTAGCAGGAGTCTCTTAACAATTTAAGTTTGGGAGAATAAGAGGGTCACTTCTTGAGAAATGACTCAAAATTGTTTCAGAAGATGCTAGGTCCAAAAACATGCAACTCTTTCCCACTTGTAAGATTTTATAAATTCTCTTTCTCACAAAGAGAAACATGGTACTGTTGCAATCTAAAAAAAACCTGTAGGATGTCATTTTCTTGAGGCCAGGGACCTCATATTTTGAAAATGTTTTTGAAAGAATATTTCATTTTTTGGTCTTGGTAACTCCACTTCTTACCATGGTAACTTGTAAGTAAATAGGCACTTAATAAGTATTGGTTGAACTTAAATGAATCATTTTAGTTACCTAAACTTTTATTAGCCAATTGACTGATGCGAAAAATTGTATATGTCACTGTGAAAATGAGAGCCCATTTGGGAAAAGTTAAAACTTTGTCCCTGGAACTCCCATGCATCTAGTTTTTAATACAAAGGTTCCCAACCTGGGATCCTTGGAATCCCAAGGGGATAGATTTCAAGGTATTCCTGAAGATGAATGGGTAAATTTTTTTTTTACTAATTTCCAAATAAAATTTAGCATTTCTATTCATTATGATTCTAAATCAATATGCTGAGAAGGATCCATAGGCTTCATTAGACTAGTAAAGAGGTCCATGAGATGTACAAAAGGGTTAAGAATCCCTGATTTAATGGCTTAACTTACTTTTAATTGGATGTGTTTCATTGTTCATTTCTCTCTGCATAGAAAAATGTCCCAAATCCTTTGTCTCTTCAATTCCTCTTTCTTTTTAGCAGGAAAGGTCTATGCTTAGTGTCATGGCAGTGAAAATAGTGTTCTTTCTTGTATCTACACACCTTAAAAAGTTAAGGGGGCTTTTGTTCTTCAGCTTAACAAATAACCCCATTCATTCTCACCCTAAGCCTCCCCCCTCCCCCCACCCTGTGCCAAGATGCTCTAGTACCTTAAGTGAAATTAGTGTTTCTCCCACCCTGCCCATCCCTAAGCATAGATATTTAGCAATGAATGGCTGGCTGGGAAATATTTCCAAGGAAAGCTTCTGCACCTCTAGCTACCATGAGGCTGGTCTATGTGGAAGGAGATTCCAACCCCAGCAACTTGGTGTTTACTCAGAATTGTCAGCCAATGCCAGAGTCAAAATCGACACATGAAACAATACGTGGATAGGATGATTTTACTTTTAACAGCTCTTTACTACAGGTTGATTATAAAAACCAGCGTTAATGTAGAGACCTTTGTGTGTAATAATATTCTAATTGCAGCAACAAAGCACCCAAAACCAAAATCTGGGCGAGAAAACAATGACTAAAAGGTTAGGAAGCTGACACCAACCCATGCTTTAGGGTGGAGGGAGAAGGTAGTATGGTACAGTGAATCCGGAGTCAGAGAAACATGTTGAAACCCCGCCTCTAACATTGACTATGTGTGTGACCTCGGCCTAATCCCTTTGCCGCTCCAAGTCTCAGTTTCCTCGTTTGTCAAATAAGAGGACTGGACTAGATGACCTGACAGGTCCCTTTCAGCTCTAAAGCTATGAGCTATGATCCTAAGATCCTTTGATTTGAGCAAGGTCCCCGAGGGAAGCCAAATCATTGGTTCAAAGGGCTCCCAGCGTCTTCTTGCAATCAGGCTTGTCAAAGAGTCTCCCAGTAGTTTTGTTCTGTTTTTATTTGAACCGTTGCTTGTCTACGTCACAGCCTCAGGCAGAAGTGGTGGCATGAAATCCACAAAGTGAAAAGCTCCCAGTTGGGAAATCCACTGACAGTGAAGCCGTAGAGGCATCTTTCACTTCACATGGATATGGTTGGAGTGTAGGGTTGAGAAGGAGATATTTCTTTTCTTTTCTTTTCTTTTCTTTTTTTTCCCACACAGTGGAAACGTTAATGCTGGATTTAACAGTGCATCACCTAAAATATCCTTCCAATTTCTTTCTTTCTTTTTGGTTGGTGACTGTTTTCCATCTTCTTCCTTAGGGCTTGCTTCACAGCCTGGTCTTGGATGCAGGAATCTTGCCAAGGGGCACCTGGGAACACATAAGCCAAGCTTCTATTTCCTGTCACAGGTGACACGGAAACCTGCATCCCCCGAGAGAACTGCCTGCTGAAAGGGAAGGGACCAGCCAGTGCGTGAATCTGCTCAGAGGAAAGGGATAGAGGCAGCAGCAAATCTGACAGGAGGTGGGGTGAGGGGACCCCCCAAATGCTGAGCAGCACCCTGCCACTGAGGCCATTCACTGTTTGTCTGAGTCACTGAGGTTCACAGACATGCACCGGCACTGCTTTACCTTCTGAATCTTTTTGTGTCGGTAGGGTGGGTCCTGCCCTGGGCACTCCAGTTCTACCAGCACAGAAGTGACCCGCTGGGGCTTACAGAAGGCACAGGACTGGAAGGACTCTTCCTCCTTCTTTACGTGCCGAGGGATGTAAAAGGAGTTGCACTGGCCATAACAGAAGCGGTTGAGGATGGTGCGGCTCCGACAGCCTTCTTCACTGACCGTCTGCCGTAGGGGCTGGGTCTTACACCAATCACTCTTCAGATATTTCCGCTCAGTGACTACCAGGGCCTCCTGGCTAGAAGCCAGCACTTCCTTCATCTGATGTTGCCACCTCTCCGAGTTGTTGCTGCTGCCGTCCTTATACGGGGAGGGGATGGCTCCTGGGGGCCGGTTTTTCCGGGCTTCAGCCACCTTCACCAGCATTGCTACCAGGAACAAGGAGAGAGAAAGTTTCCAAAACATCCTGCAATGGGAAAAAAGTAAAAAGCATAGATTAGGAAGGAAGTCATGTTACTTGCTCACGCATAACCATTCACAGAGTTCAATTAGAAGCAGCAAGACCTTTAAGAGCCGTTGTTCAGTAGATAAGAAAATAGACTTGTACGCCTGTATTTATATTGACTCCTGTGCCTTAGAGTTCTCAGTCAGTCAGAAACAAGGGTTGGTTAAGTACTTACTATGTACAAGGCACTGTGCTAAGCATAGGAGATTCAGTGAAAGGCAGAAACAGTCCCTGTTCTCAAGGAGTGCACACGCTAATGGAGGAAACAACACGTAAATAACTATGATTGTACAAAATTTATACAGGGCTAATTGGAGGTTAATTCAGAGGGAAAGTACCAGCATTGAAGAAGAGTAGAAAAACCTTCTTGCTGAAGTTGAAATTTTAACTGAGACTTGAAGGAAGACAGAAGGTGAAAGTTAGGAAGAAGAAAATTCCAGGAAAGGGGAAATCCCAGGCTTCCCCAAGACAAGTTCACTTAATATCATCCATTCCGCCGTAACAGAGGCCATGCATGGAACAAGTAAACTGACTAATGACGACCTGCAGAACAATTTAAAAATTGCAGTGTCCTTGATATTACTCTGTAAGGAAAAATTAAAAAGGGCCAATGAATTGAAAAATTAAAGTAACTAACTTCTCTTGGGATTTAATGGACAAGCATGCACAAACTGACCTTTATACACCTCCCTTTTCTCGTCTATAAAATAGAAGAATGATACATTTAGGAATTACCTTAAAGCATTACTTAAACATAAACTATTAATTATTGTTATTGTTACCTCATCCCGTAAATTACTTCTATTCCCTTCCACAAATGAAAGCATTATTATTATTATTATCCTCCAAAGTATTGATTAAGAATTATTTTATATATTCTAGTATTCTAGGTATTGCATGAGATAAATGGTGTCTTTGCTCTTTAGGGATGTTTAATGAAGATGCACAGCATAAATGTGTAGAAATCGACATTGTATGAAAAGTAGTTAAGAAACTGGTGGGAGGAGGGCAGAAATATTTAGAGTGAAGAAAGGAAGATAAGGATCATAGATCTAGATGTAAAAGAGACTTCAGAGGCCATCTAGCCAAACCCTCTCATTTTATGAATGAGGAAACTGAAGTTAAACAACTTGTCTAAGCTCCCACATTAGAGGTGGGATCTGAACCAAGTTCCTCTCATCCCCCTGTGGATCTGTCCACTCTATCATTCTGTCTCCTTAGGAAAACACAATAATTACACGGTTCAGCTGGATTCATCTCACTGGTCTTTTCCAACTTAGAGATTCTGTACATCATTGAATTAATTGAACAAATTCAATTCAAATTCAACAAATATTTATTATTATTATTCTTTGATAATAGGCAAGTATTAATAGAAATATTTGATGAATATCCTAATTAAATCTTTTTGTCATTATCACTTCTTTCCAGTAGGAAAAATCAAAGAAAGCTTGGTATAGTACCTAGTTTAGCAACGCATGAAAATGGACATTAAATACAGGCATAATAATGATGACTATGAATATAAAAGTATCTAGTGAGCTTTCACTGAAGACAAGAGAGTGGGAAAAAGGCAAGGGAAAGTGAAGAATTGAAGATGAGGAAGAAGACAAAAGTTTTTCTTTTTTATTTTAGCCAATAATATTTTTGAAAGTCTTAGGTCAAGTTTTTAAAGATCTTTTTTCTATACCATTTTGTTTCTATACACATAAGACACGTATAAAAACAGTCACACCTCCAAGAGGTTCATGGCAAACATGAAATATTTAACCTGTTATGTTTAATTATTTCATTATATTTGCAAAAATATCTCATCATATTTATATTATATTTGAGCTTTCAGTGGTCTCTTAGAAGGAAAGCATTCTGGTTCCTTGTTTAATAATTTCCAAAATTATTAGCATTCTAAGTAAATGTGACCCAAACTTGATAAGCTGGAGCCAGGAAACATTTACAAAATCAAGCCCTCATCCATCCATTCCAGAGCCCAAAACAAACACGTATCATTGATAGAACAAAAATCTATGTTTCCCTCAGCATATCCTAATAATTGTCTTTGAGAATAGCATTGAAATATATTCAGATCAGTGGGGGGGGGCAGCAAATATTTTTGGAAACCATCATGCTGGTTTGGTGGTTAACTAGTGTGCTTTTTTGGGCACATCTTTTTTTTTTTAAATATTTGTAAAAGATGTGGTGATCCTCCTTAGAAATTATTCCTTATAAGAGCCCAAGAAGAAAAGAAAGCTGCTGAATTCTCAGAAGAAGAAAATGAAGCTGATGAGAAGAAAATGTTATGATTTCAGACTACACTGCGTGGGACAAAGCAGCCTCTCCTTTCTGGTCTCCTTCCCCTTTCTCTTTCTTTCAAATATTATTCTCATCCATAATCGAAAATGGAAAAATGATAAGGCTAATGGTGGACTAAAAGCTCTTCCACTATAGTTTTTCCTTTAGCACTCATTCAATTTCCTTTAGTGACAGTATGAGGCAGCTGCTGTGGATGATTTTTTTTTCTATGTGTTCAGAACTGAACCAGGAGAGAGTGTGCTCTTCAGTAGTTAAGTTCTACAAAGTAGGTGATGGAAGCTTCTCATTCAGTAGTCCAGAATCCCTAGTCTATTCCTCAAGCACTTTGACTCAATAAACAGGCATTTACTAAAACCTATGTCCAAAGTATCACGGAAGGTGCTGGAAATACAAAGATGAATGCACAGTCCTTTCTCTTAACACGTTTAAGTGATAATAGAGAGGGCAGTGTCAGATATTACAGGTAAACGGACAGAACAGAGAATGGGATAGGGTAAAGGAAATACCGGATAAAGCTCTCTAGAAAATTTTGAGAAACACTTTGGTTTGGTGGTGATCAGAGAATGCTTCATGTTAGAAGTGGCCCTTTATCAGAGGCTTGAGGGAAGAAAAGGAATCTGGAAAGGATACATGAAGAAGAGATTCATGCTGGGCATGAGTACTGGTGTGAATGTAAGCAAGTGCCCCCCAACTTGCCATAGTTGTTGTTCAGTCATCTCAGTTGTGTCTGACTCTTCATGTTCCCCCTTGGGGTTTTCTTGGCAAGGATATTTGCCAATTCCTTCTCCAAATCATTTTACAGATGAGGAAACTGAGGCAAACAGGACTAAGTAACTTACTCAGGGTCACACAGGTAATATGTGTCTGAGCTAGCGAGTGCCCAGCACTCTATCCACTGAACCCTCCTAGCTATCCTAATATGTCACAGGACTATTGCCAAAAGAGACCTTAGAGTCTGCTGCATCCAACCTGCTCATTTTACAGATGTTGAGTAAAACTGAATGACTTGGTCAGGGTCACACAATTAGCAAGTGTCTGAAGCTTGAACTGAGATCTTCCTGACTCCTAGGCCAATATTCTCTGCACTTTGTCACCAGTTTTGTCAAGTTAGGCAAACAGTTTATATTCTAATTTAGCTGGAACACTGGTATTAATAACAGTTGTGTAGCATACAGTGGAAGAGTTTGGAAACGATACAACTTAGCACAATGGAATAAGCACTGGGTCTGGTGCACCTTGGTTCCAATTCCTCCTTTGATGCTTACTACATGGGTAAGCATGGGCAGGTATTTACTTTCCTGGGTCTTAATCTCATCTGTAAAAAAGTTAAGGGGTTAGACTACTATAGATGACAGAACTCTGAGGTTCCTTCCTAGTTTAGATTGATCATTCTATGCACCCATGGAGAACAGTTTAGGAAATTTATATCGGACCTAGTGGTAATAAAGAACTACTAAATATTTGCGGGCATGAGTGTGATGAGATCTTTGCTTAGGAAGTTCATTTTGGCAACTGTGTGTATGAATTGCTACTAAGATAGTAAGTGACCTTAACAAGATATAAAAGATAATCAAAGAGCTACATGACTATACATGGAGATGGGCTAGTCATGGACTGAAAACAAGGGCCAACAAGCAGGCGACCAGCATAGCTTCCATGCTGTACTGATAGCTACATAGGAGTATTTAAAGTAGTATTATGATACCTAGAGAAAACCACATTACATGGACCACCCATCTCAGACGATTTGTAGAAGGACATAGAAAAAGGGTCACAAAAAAGATGAAAAAGCACAGATAGGTTGTCATCTGTAGCACTGGAGGTACTGCCCACATGATGGGATAATAGAAATGGTGAAATACAGAAGACTGGATTGAAAGGTATAGGCAAAGGGAGCAGGAAGACAGACTGAAGGTAGGGTAAACAGTTAGGAGGCTATTAAAGCAGTCCAGGCAAGAGGCCATGAGGAACTGAAACAGGCTAGTAGTTTTGCAAGGTAAGAGAATGGGACTGGTGTAAGAGGTTTTCTCAAGGTAGAATCAACAGGATTTAGCAATGCATTAGATGTGGTGTTGGTGATGGTAGTGGTGGTGGTGGTGGTGGTAGTTTAAAGGTAGACAAATGATTGGCCTCTCAGGAATGTTTGAAATAGCTACCATCCATAACACTGAGGTTACTTTATTCTGCCCTCACATCTTGAATTCAGCTGTTATCTGGAGAAACTCATAAATAAATCCTGTTGGTTTTATTAACTCTCCTGCTGGTCTGACAATGTTGTCAATCAGCAGGGGAACCAGGGTTATAAATGCAGATGGCCTAAGCAGACTGGGCTGGACAAAGACCCTTGTGCAAACAGAAAGACCATGGGGTCCTTTCATCCCAAGGAGTTGCTTTTGGTGCAGGTTATTTAACTACCACAGAGTGGGATGGACGGTACCAAAGTCTCCTCATCAGACTGCCCAGAGTAAAGGAAGCACCTTTCAAGCCTTTCTAATTGTAGTCATTTAAAACATTATTCACCATCAGGAAGTATCATAGCCTAAGGCAAAAGATCCCCAGGAGACAGGGGACTGAGAGACAATTTTGACTGTAACCTCAAGGAAAGGAAATAGGAGCGCTGAGTCGTCATTCCTCAACAGGTGTGTGTATAT